ATGAGCGCGGGGAAGCAGGGCATGCGCCAGGCGAGGCGTCGGGGGGAGGGGGCGCCGGAAGGCCAAGGGAGACCAAAGGAAACCCTCCCAGTGGCGCCATGTGGCGCCCTTTTTTCCTTTTCTCCTTCTTTTTGGGGGAAAGGTCCCCCCTTTAAACTCAACCAACCAAAAAAGGATGCCCCCTTTCTTTCTTTTTTGCGAGGCCAGTGGGCATCTGAGCCCTTGCCAGGTTGGGAAGTGGGCACCTATGTTGAGAAGCAAGAAATAATGGTCTTAAGCAAGAAAGTTCAAAGTCGTTTGGGCAAGTTGATGCGGTGTCCTTTGGTATCATTTTCTTGGAATCTCAAAGCACAATTCACGATTGGTTTCTCAAGTTGCGTTTTCCATCTCAAACAACAACTTACGGTTGGTTTCTCAAGTTGCCTTTCCCATCAAGTAGGTTTATAGGAAACTATTGTTTGGGAAACTGCCTTTTGTTATATAATGGTTGTTTCAGCTTCTGAACCATGGCCAGGACGCCTTCTCAGCCTTCATCGATCCCGCGCTGCGCGAGTGCCCGCGCTTCGCTCGGGCGGGTTGTGTTTTCCATGGCTCCAAGTATCGCTCCCCGAAAGATGGAGGATTTTCACCAGCAGCCTTCTTGTTTTGGACCCCTTCTCGAAATGCCTTGAAACGGAGGGAAAATCCGTGCAAAACCCATCCAAGAGCCATGTTTGGTTGGATTCCCCAGCGCTTCAAGCCACCGCCAGTTTAGCTCCCGCCCTTCGCGGAAAACCCCCGGCCCGAGGAACCTGGAGGTGGTCAGCGAGAGCCTCTGCCGCCGCGTGCTCTTTGAGGACGGCCGGCAATGGCCCCCGGGGAAAATTCGGCTTCGGCTTCGCCCAAGGAAAGGACCAGACGATTTCCAGAAGGAGCCGGAAGTCAAAGAGTTTGGTGGGGAGAGACCACACAAAGCTGAGCACTTTGATTTCGTTGACGGGAGGGGAAGTTAGAGCAACTTGAACTTGCAACCCCCCATCCAGCAGGCTGTCCAGGGTGCAACGTTACGTGCGCCTGCAAGTCAGTTGTTCAAAATCGACCTTTTGCCATTTTGGTCCATGTTCAGTCAAGGTCCCCAACAGGTTCCCTTATTTTATTTTCAGGTCGCTTGGGAAGGACCCCAGCCAAAGGAACGCCTCAAGCAACAAGCGCTGGATTACTCCATTCCCCCCACGGCGGGGGGAATGGGCGCCGCGGTGCCCTTAGGTCAACCAAAGCCTGCAGGGAGGTGACGCTCCCTTTCCCCATGTGGCGCTTCCTGCGCACAACGGGCTCCCCTGCTCCATAAAGCATGGCCACTCCAAGTAGGTTGCAACCAGGCTAACTGGGGTAAATGGGGTTATCCAGGAGTTATCACCATTGTTATATTGTTGACCCAGGACGCGCCATGGTCATAATGTCGACCCTGGATGAAAATCTTGGACCGGCTTTATGAATGGAGCGGCCCCTGCAAAAAGTGGCCTGAATCCCCGGTAAAAAGAGAACCGCGGGACCCATCTCTCGAAATCTAGGGTTCTGGGTTCGCAGCGAGTAACAGCGCGCAGGGCGGCACGCAAGTGGCGGGCTTGTCGGCACCTTAGGCCTCGAGTTCGGTGGAGGAACCCCTCTTCGGATAGTGAAGAAAGACGGGTCCCTAACCTGAACACCGGCAAGTACGGATGTCTCGAGAGACCTAGCCAAGGGGCTCAACAAAAGTGACTTCTAGCTTTCGAGGGGAGGCTTGAGAGCTCTCACCCCCCCCACCCGTCTGTTACAAGACATCTGGGCTCGTGTCCAAAAACAAGGTAAACGCTCAAAATGAAACCAACCCACGCAAAAAAAAGAAGAACAACACGAGCACGCCAATTCTATTCTCTGTGTGGGCTCCATGTTGGGCATTTGCCTTCGCAGTAGCTCCACCTGGTGCACAGTGAGGGTGCAGACGTCAGACGTTGACAAGGGAGCTGCTTCGATCAATTGCTTGGCAGGGTGGTTGGTCATGCTCGCGCCAGGTGTGACCTGTGGCATGCCTTCCGGAAGCACGTCTTAAGAACCTGATGCTTCCTTTTGCTGGAGAATGTGTTTTAATTGTTTTCCCCTGTTTGGTTTTAAGGGGAACTATCGCTGGACCGAAGGGGACGAAGCTGGACGAAGCAACGCAACTGGGCGATTGGCCGCAGCTTCCTTTGGCTCCCGGAGCCACTGAACCGATATCTAACCCGGAGCAGGGCGAGCGGCGAGCGGCGAGCGGCGGCGTGGGGCCCGGAGCGCCATGCTCCGGGCCTTGCTTTGGCTCCCATGGCTCCCATGGCTCGTCACGGGCTTCGACCAGACACAGCTGCTGCAGGTCGCCAGCGCGTCGAGCGCGTCGGCTCGGGGCTGCAGCAGCCCGGTGGTGAAGTACGCCATGCCCAAAGCACCCAAGGAGCTTCGTAGCTCGGCCTGGTACTCGCCTTGACCCACGAACTAACCCAGCAGTAACAGTGTGGTTTTGGGTTGTAACCTGTCAGAGACAAACGAAAGGTCCAACCTTGGATTGGAAGGTCTTCAATGGGTTCATGCTTGTTTGCATGCCCTGTCTTTCTCTGGCGGAACAAGCTGCTTTTGTTCGGTCAGATTCTCTCCCCTCTCTTGGCGGTTGGGGTTGCTGCTTTGGTCGGGGCGCCTTAACCTACTTGGTTCAACCCCAACGCCAGGCCGAACCATCCAATTTAGTGTCAGCTTTTGACTTTGGACGGCCTGACCCCTAAGATCCTTTCCTTAAGCCAAAAAAGGGGCTTGCCACGACGTCCGGACCGAGTGCCCGGCAGTCCTGAACCTTCATGAAGATGTTGTATTTCCCCCGGGTTCAAAGGGAAGCGACTGTACTGCGGGTTTTTTGACTCCTTTTCCAGGGGGCGAAGAAGCAAATGGAAGAGACAGACACCTCCTGTGACACCTCTCGACTCCCCTTCTCACCAAAAATGGAATCAATCGGTCCCAGTGCTTCTTCTAAGAGGTCACTGGTTGCAGGGAGTTTGCCGGATATGCCCAGCAATCTCAAATTGCCCGCAACTGGACGGAAGCTGCGCGAGAGCTTTCTTTTAAACTGCTGCGGTGCGTCACGCGGAGTCAATTAGGTGAGCTCGGAGTGCTTGCGCGCAAGCAAAGAACAACACACGCACGGAGACAGGAGCCGGTCTTACTCTTTGTGCGGTCTTCAAATAGACCACGCCAATCTCCACAGACTTGGGGAGCCGCAGAAATTCAAAACACTCAGCACTTGTGCTTTCTGTTTGTGCGGATTTCTGCGCAAGAATCAGGCGCCAACCAGACCAAGTCTTCCGTGATATCTATATGTGATGCAAGATTGTCTATTGTCGCCATACTGTCCTCTCCCCCTCTCTCTCTCTCTCTCTCTCTCTGTCTCTCTGCAACGTGCAATCGATCTTACAGGAAGAACCCCTCGCAATCGTTCGCAGTGCTCACACAAACCACGCAGAAAAAGGAGAAGGGGACGAGGCCGTGCTTTCTTTTGCCCCAAACCTCCAAAACCCAGAGATGAGTTGCTGAGGCAACCTCCGCTGGGTGCACTTTCCAAAGGCGCGAGATGAATGAAAAGTCGAGGCAGAGAGGCAGAGCCCTTTTTGTATGAAGCAGCCCCTTTTCGGGGGATCCACAGAAACGGGTTCCTGTTTGTTTTCCTTTTTGTCCATGGCAGAAAAATAGTCTCCCCTATTTTGGAAGGCCTCTGCAAATGGAACCAAGTCTTCCAAACTTGACTGCTATCGGGTTGGATCTTTAGACTTTATCTTTTTGGTGGAAATATAGGTGGGTTTTCCACTGAACCCCCAAATAGAAAAATGCAGGGGGGTCAACAGCAACCAAGTGTTTCGGGGGGATCCACACAGGGGTTCCAGTTTGTTTTCCTTTTTGTCCATGGCAGAGGGGAAAACACATGTCGACTGTTTTTTTTGTGTGTGTGTGTTTCCCTCGTGGAAGGCCCGTATCTTTGTCAGTCCACCAGGCTTAGATCCCATGCTTGTGAGGGCCCCCCCCCAAAGAGGGAACCCCCCAGAAAAGGAAGCCTTTTTCATTCCTAATCAGCCTCTTACTGCCCTTCCTCCAACTAACATGGCACCTGTGGGGAGGTACCTAGAAGATGATTTTCCTTTTTGAAGGGACCCCCTCTCAGTTGCCATGTCAGTGGGAGGGAGGGTAGTCGATGCTTCCCCCCAAAGAGGGACCCCCCTCAAAAAAATGGAAGCCTCTTTCATTCCCAATAAGCCTCTTATTCCTCGTTTCTTTTGCCCCTGGGATTGGGGGGCCCCCTACTCGGGGGCCCCAGGGCAACCTTAGCTAGGTCCCCCAGCAGTTCCCTTTTACCCACTTTTTTGGGGCAGGGGTATAGAAAAAAGGTTGGTACACTTTATTCTAAGCTCTACTATAGGACCTAGAACTTATAGCTTGACCCTTTTACCTTAAGGTCCGCGGCCACGAGCCTCAGGCAACCCCCCAGGGGCAAGCGTTTCGAAGGGCTTGGCCTGGTTCGACCCCTGGGCAACCATAGCATTGTTGAAGGCAGAATCATCCTTCCAGGGTTTGCTAGGTTTTTCAGTAGTGCCCTTTCACCCTTTCTTCAAATAAACTGCAGAAAAAAGTGGGTACCCTAATTCTAAGCTCTCTGGACCTAGGATTCTCGAAGGCCTTTTTGGCCCAGGCGGGCTGGAGCTTTGTCACCACCCTGTGGCAGTTCGCCTGCGGCCAGCGGGACGTCCTGGACCTCAGCCAGACCACCTTCAACCACAGCGAGTGGCCGAAGCTACCCGATCATAAGGCGGAGAAAAGACGCCGAAACCCGAGCCTCCTTGTCCTTTTTCTTGTTTTTTGTGTCCCATTCTTTTTTTTCTCCCGAGGGGGCGCGAGCAACGCGAAGCGTTTACAATTTGCATGCTTGTTTGCTTGTTTGTTTTCTAGGACTTAACAAGGGCTTATGAAGAAAAGAAGGAAACTTGTGGTGCCACCTTTTTTGTTTGGCGGGAGGGGGGGGGGAACATCTAGGGGGGGACATGGGGCATACATGATTATAATCTCCATGCAAGAATTCCCAGAAGGCCAACAGCATGGGCGCTCTTGAAACCTCAGCTCCAAATCTTCGCGTGCAAAACTCCTCCCCCTCCCGGTGTTGGGCTGCTGGCTGTTGGGCTGTTGCTTGGGTTCTTGGTTTTGCTGTTGGGTTGTTGCACTGCTGGGTGTTGTTGGGCTGTGGGCTGTTGGGGGCTGTTGGGCTGGTGGGCTGTCAGAGTTGTTTGACTGTTAGGTCTGCCTGTTAGGCTTGCTGGGTTTAGGGTTTAGGGTTTAGGGCTTGTGCTGCTGGGGCTGACGGGGAGCTGGTGGTGTTGGGCTGCTGGCTGTTGGGCTGCTGGCTGTTGGGCTGTTGGGTTCTTGGTTTTGCTGTTGGGTTGTTGCACTGCTAGGTGTTGTTGGGCTGTGGGCTGTTAGGCTAATGTCCCTGCGCGCCTGGTTGCCCGCTCACCCCCTGATTAAACAAATTCTATTTGCTCAAGCCCTGGAACAATGGGAACATATGTCCAGTAGTGATAGATTTCATCTCTAAGATCTAGAAAATGGAAAACATGAAAATCCCAATGTCAGCAACTGGAAGTGTGGCCTGTTCGCTGCAGCTGCCCCTTAGGGACCTGGGAAGAATTGTTGGTAACCTTTTGGAACCTGGACTATGGACCAAATCAGCTTTCTGCCAAAGGCCAAATTCGCTGTGGACGAGTGAGCGCTGTGACAAATGGGACTGTCGGCCTCCAGGAGAAAAAAAAAAAAAACAACACCCACAACCCCCCCCCCCAAAAAAAAAAAAAACCCAAAGGTATATCGCCGCTGTCCAGCCATCAGCGATGGCTTACAGGGGCCTCGCTTAGCACGGCGGGATTTGAGGGAGTGCCTGTGGATTTTGGCTGCTTGCTGTTGAAGCTTGCTTTTTGCAAGAGAGGCTGAAGCAAGGCGAAGGTTTCGTTTTGCGACCGTCCGTGAAGGCAGCCGCTTCACGGCAATTTCATGCACGGAGGGTGGGTGGCTCGAGCCGCCTTGGATACGGCGGATTTACCCTCCCACCTACCTTGGGACCTGATGTTTCGGGGGGTGGTAAAGGGACCATTTGCCTTTTGAAGGGACCATTTTTCTATTTTAGTTTTTCAGGTCCAGATTGCATTTTCCAAAAACCCTGCAGGACCGTGCTGAATTATTCTTCCCGGACAGGATTATAATGCACCGCTACCCTAGGGGCAGGTACTGCAACGACGAGGTCTTCGGCCACCAGAATGTGCAGACGCTGCACAGTCCAGTGAGCCTCAAAGAAATGGACCAGCGCAAGTGGCAAGTCATTGCCATGTTTCGGAAGCCTAGTCAACGGCTCCTCTCCGCCTTTTACCACAACATGTTTGCTGATGGTTTTTCTGTTCCTCAATTGGCGGAGCTTCACGAGAAATGCGACAGGCCTGCCTGCTTCGCGCGCTTTCCCGGCATTGCGGGCTGTTACGCGCGCATGCTGACCAATTCGACCTGTGCAGAGCAGGATGAGGATAGTTTCGATTCTGGCAAAGCACGGCTGCCGGAGGCACTGCAGATGCTGCACGCGATGTCCTTCGTGGGTCTGTCGGAGAAGTGGGATCTGTCTATTTGCCTCTTCCATCGCATGTTTGGCGGCAAGGCCAACATTGGGCAGTTGCAAGACTTACACAAGGGTCCAGTGCACGAGGAGAGCTACAACGAGTCTTTGTTAGAAGGTTTCGAAGATGAGGCAAGGTTCGATTTTCTTCAATTAAACATCACCCCCCCCAAAGAAAAACAAAAGCAGTGGCCCCTTCAAAGAGTTTGTCTAGATTTGCTCTTCAGCTTGGTGGCTCTCAGCCATCCCCTTTGATTTTTAGCCTTTTAGTGTTTAGTGGGGGTTTCCATTTGGCCCACCAAAAGTTATTCACTTTTAGCGGGGGATCTGAGGACAGCTCAGTTAAATTTGGCCACCAAAAGCTTCCCCAGAATTAGCTCCCCTTTTTGCTTTTTTGCTTTTTTGGGGGTCCCTTGGTTCTCCACTCACCAGGCAAAAAAAATAATAAATAAATAAATAAATATATATATATATATATATATTTGCTGGGGTCCAAATTCCAGCCTAGAAAGGTGGTTTAAAGAACGCCACATCGAGCGCTTCGGAGGTGGACGAAGCCATCTACCGCGCCGCGGTTGAGAAGTTCCAGGGGCTGCTGCGGGAGTACGTGGGCGACGACGCGGACAGACAGTTGTTGGAAGCGCTGGAGGGCCTTTGGTTCTCTTCGTCCGGATCTCATCTTGTGGCAAGCATTTTTCAGTCACCCCAAAAGTCAAGTGGCAAGTGTTGTGCCTTCAATCAACCCCAGTGATTAAATCGGCGGGTAGTTTTGGCCCGTCCAAAAGTGGTCCGATTCCCCGACATTTCACCCAGCGAGTAGTACCCCCTATTAATAAACTGGTTGGTTAATTCAACATAATGGTTGTTGTTGGGAAACTTTTTACATGTTTGCTTCTTGTGGTTTAGTGGTTGAAATCCAACCACTGAACTGCTAAAATCTAATTGTTTGCTCCCCTTCCAAGGTCAACCAAGCTTTGGTCCTCTAAAAGCCGTCCGGATCCGATCTTCCAGGTGGCAGCTTAAGCTACGTACCAATGTGGGCTTGCACATTGGATGTTGCGCGAACGGTTGGCTTCTTTGTGTCCACCAATTTGATCCATGCCAACCTGGAGCAAAACATATCATGGGGAAGGGAGCCCAAAGAATAAGGCGCCTTTTTTAGCCCCCCAACCCCCCATGAAACATTAGAAAAACAAACGGGAGACCTCCCTCCCCCTCCCCTCCCCTCCCTCCCTCCCTCCCCTCTCCTCCCCTCCCCTCCCCTCCCCTCCCCTCCCCTCCCCTCCCCTCCCTCCCCCCTCTCCCTCCCTCCCCTCCCTCCTCCCCTCCCCTCCCCTCCCCTCCCCTTCCTCTCCCTCCCCTCCCTCCCTCCCTCCCTCCCTCCCTCCCTCCCTCCCCCAACCCCCATGAAGCACTAAAAAAAAAGACAAAAGAGGAAAAACGGAGACCTCCCCCCTCCCTCCCCTCCCCCGGGAGGAGACGGCCTGCGGGGAGATCCTGAACCCGCCCTCGGAGACCTGCTCCTGCGCCAAGGTGGGCCGGGAGTGCGGCTTCGATCCAGGCATCGGCCTGGACTGTGGCTCGGGCCAAGAAAAGTCCCGTAGCTCCAGATGTCCGTGTGTTTGTTTGTGTCTGCGTAGGCTTCTTCTTTTTTCCGAACTCCCGGCTTAGACTGTGGAATGGGTGTTCCAACCCCACCCCATTTTTTTGAAGGGTATGTCTGTGTATTCATCAGGGCTCCTTAAAAGATCTCCATTTTGCAACCATTTGAGACATGTGGCTTTTTCAACACCAGAATAAAGAAATGGAAGCCACCAGTGACAAGTTGCAATGTTCAGGTGCTTTTCATGCATCCGGATCCCAAGGTCCCCACAGGTTTTTGGCCTATTTGGCCCCTGCTCTTTTGGGGGCGTGAGGCGGTGAGTGCCCTCGAGCGCGCCTGAGGGTGCTGGACCTGGATCCTGATAAAACGGCCCTGGAATGCAGCGCCGAGGGCAGGTGCGTCATCGAAGGCCTCTTCCGGTGGTGAGCTTCGAAGCTTCGCTCCGTCCCTTTCTGACAAATTGCCAGCCTCTTGCCTCTTGCCTGGCCTGTGAGGCCTGTTTCAAGGACGCCTTCCAAGGCGTGACACCAAAAAACACCAGCAACTGAGCGGCCGGAAAATGCCGCGCGAAGCGTGGTGGGGCAATATGGCGGCAAGGCATACGCCAAGCTTGATCACTTTGGGAAATGGTGTTTTTATTGGTGGAGACCTCCCCACAAAATGGCGGGGTTTCCGTTTGGTTTCCCTCAAAAGCCGCAAACACAGGCACGCCACCTCCAAAAAAACATACGCAAACGCACGGCTGCGTGCAAATTCATTTTCACTGCATTCTCATCGTCCGTCTTTGTTGTCCGTGGCCTGCCTTGAGTGGTTGTCACGCAGCATTCATGCAGACACCCAAAACCATGGCTCTCACATGTTGGCCCCATGTTTTTCGGCCATCATCAAAGTCTCTCTAAGTGGTAGGGTGGAGGGGAAGAACCCAATTTCTGACTTTGCTAACCTCACAGAAACTGTCAAAATAACATGCCCCCCCGCGTTGCTTGAACTGCCGTTCTAGAGTTGCATTTTAATGGCTCATCATATGTTTGGGTTGGTGGTTTGGGGTTCCCTTTTTGTAGCCAAATGCGCTTTCACTCTTTCAAACCGCCAAAATAGCCACGAATGGATGGATAAGGTGAGGTGTGTGTAGGACCAAAAGCAGCAGCGTCGCGGGCATTGTTGGAATTCAGCCCTTTTCTCAAGCCCGTCTTGCCCAGCTGACGGCAACAGCTCGCGCGCTGTTTCTGGATGCCGTGGGCCGAGGCTGGATGAAGTTGACATTGACGACCTGGAGGATGCAGGCAGGACTCTTCAATTGCTCACTTGTTCAAAGCGAGTCGAGGCTGTTTTACCCTTTGGCAGAAACCTCTTTTGGTACATACATGGTTGTTGGGAAACCTTTTACATTGCTTCTTGCGGTTGAGTGGGTCTTTTTTTTGCTCCCCTTCCAAGGTCAACCCAGAAGGTTCCGACAGCATAGCTTTTATTTCCAGGTGCCCTGACCCCGCCCTGTGTCAAAAAGTGGCGACACTCCTGCAAACAGAAAGGCCGGTCTTCCTTTGGCCCAAAAAACGGGCCAACCCCAAGACGGGTTTCCTCAAAGACTTGCTGCCGGGGAAGGAGGAAATGACCCCTGCAACGATGTTGTAGGGTTTCCTCTAAGAGGATCTCGTAGGTTCATTCTCAACACCCGGAACGGGTCATTCCCCACCCATCGCACCAGCAAGAAGAGACAGACCAAGACCTAAACCTGCCCCTTTCGGCTTGCGAGGCGAAAACCCATTCGACAGCGACGTGCCCTGGTTCTCACTCTGGCCGGTGCCACGGCAAGGACAATTCCGGTCTTTTGGGGATCAAGGGGGCGGGGTGCTTGGAAGGGCAGACAATTTCTTGGAGTCCATTGCGAATTGGGGGGAGGTTTATGTCCACCCGGCCACCCGCCAATCTTACCTCCATACCTGTGGTAACCAATGGATTCACCACCTCTAAAAATCAAGAGGGAAAAAACAATGTTGTGTAGAACCACAGGAAGACGCTGGTAGGGAAGCAGGGAAGCCACATCAAAATTCACTGGATGACATGGGCCATTTTGCACACCTGGGAACGTAAGAAGCAAGCTTGGACAGCTTAGCAAAAGGCTCCCGGGCTCGGACGAAGCGAAGGGTGCCATGATTTTTTTCTTCTGCACATGAGCCCCCAAACCTTAGTTCTGATGCTTGCCGTATCTCACGTTTTTTCTCAACTGGCGGCTGCTTTCATGATTTGATTCGAGTTCCCGCGCTCGCGCGATCTTTTTTCCCCCCGCCCCCCCCCGCCCCCGCCCCCTTGCTTTTCAGAGCTGCAGCTCGACTTTCTGGGATTTGTTTCTCGGCGCGGTGCCAGACGCCTTCTGCTCATCGCTCTACGGGTCATTCCGATCCGGATCGGGGTGAGCCGAAGGACCCCGGCCAGTCAGCCGAGAAGTAGGATCGGTGTGAGCGCCTGGAAGCGTCAAAGTGTTCTGATCTTTAAAGTGAAACGTGTTCAACTGTAGGGAACCTCAAAAGTGGGTGTCGGCCCCAAACCACCAAAGGACATCAAATCCTCATCAGGGATCCCTTTCATGCCCTTTTACGGGTTTCCAACAAGAGAGGCACCGCCAAATGGCTGTGGGTCCAAATCAATGGTACCATTATGGGGTAGGTGAATTCACCACCCATTTTAGAACCTATTTTAGTGGTTGGATTCAATCGGATGTTCACTGGGGGCACGATTTGGACTTTGTCCCATGGCCAAATGGATCTGTGCAGGAGAATCTGGACCTCTTGGGCTCCTGTATCTTCGCCAACCGATTCACCCGGCCCGGCGCCAAGATCGATTCCCGGCCCCGAATGCAATTTATCCGGTTGTGGGGATGTTGTTGTTTTTCTTTTTGAGGGCACCTGTTCTTGCGGTTTTTACGGACCGCCAAAAGGAAACCACCTATTTTGTGGGTTCCCCCTTTGAAAAACGACACACCTGTTTGGTTTCGTTTGTTCCTAGCATGCAACGGCCATTGTCCTTCTGCTTCGGTTGGATCCAGGAGGAAGTGTCCTGTTTGTATCGGTTGGCTTCGAAGATTCCAAAAGCTTCTTTGAAGGCAGGTTGTGTTCAGCATGCAAAGGCAAGCTTGAAGTTTGTCTTGGATGGTTCTCAACTTCGAAAGGCAACTGACTTGCCGCTCTTGGTTCCAAAGATTCAGAACTGTTTTTTGTTTGTTTGCCTGGGTGAGTTCCGTACATGCCGCGGATGGACAAAATGCTGCACCATTGGTAGGTGGGTCATCTCAGTCCTCGCCTTTCATCCATCCCAACTGGTGCATGGTCCGCCGGTGTTGCAACCATTTTTTTTGGCTCGCTCACACCATTTGTTTTGAAACCATCTGATTCGGTTGGCTCCTCACACCATCCATTTTTTTGGCATTTGTTGCCGCGCCCTCGGTGATTTGCAGAGCAGATCACGTCTCCTTCCCCTCCCGCATTGAAGTTCACAACCCCCCCCGGCTCCAAGAGGAAAGTGGTCCTTTCTGCAGAAACCTGTGCCCTTCTTCGATCTTAGTCGCTGAAGAAAATCATGGTTGTTGTTGGGAAACATTTTACATTTTTGCTTATTGTGGTTTAGTGGTTGAAATCCCCACTAGACTTCTAAAAAATAAATTTGTTGCTCCCCTTCCAACGTCAACTACACCCTTTCCAAGAGGTCCGCAGGCACAAACCCATGGAATCGGGAGGGTCCTGGGCCCGAAGCTGCCGCGCGATCGAGGCTCCTGAAGCAGGAGCAGTTCCGAACGCTGCAGCGCTCCGCCCGGGCCCCGCGCGCGAAAACACCGGCAGCGGCGAAAGTGGCGGGTGGTGGGAAGCGGGGGGAGGCTTTTTTGGTGTCCTCTGTGGTGGGTTTGCGTTCAAAGAAAGGAGGGCGATTCCTGGTTTAGATGGGGTTTATTCCATTTACCAGGGAAACCAATCTATTTTCCCAAAAAGCCACCTATGGGATGGGTCTGGGGAAAGAAGGGCGATGCTATTCACATTCCGTTTGTGTTTGTCCTTGGGAAGGTGGTCCATTTTCAAGGCAGATGGTCTTCCAGGACCCTCTGAAATTGGTGGGGGGTGGGGGGGGATAAAGAACATATGGTCTATCTAGCACCCGGCATGGTATGCGGGTCGGGCGGCCGTGTTTCGCTTCGGGCAAGAGACACAACGGGATGTCACCCCTGCTTTTGAAGGTGGAGGGGCTGGCAACTGATTTAGGCCAGATTGTTTCAGGGGATGATGTGATGCATGACTTGAGATGTTTCTCACGCGGCCTTCAAACTAGGGGTTGGCAACGCCTAATCCAGATGAGCAGACGCGGAAGTTGACTGCGTAGTCAAAAGGAGCAGGGCTTTCAACATAGATTGCTGGAGATGCTGATTTGCCCAAGCAACAAATACGCGATTTGTTCATCGATATGAGCGTTGGGGCCCCCTTGCTTGTCAGCACTGCCGATTTCCGGTGCACTTTTGCGCAGCCTTCTTTTCTCCAGCCTGGGTCTAAGGACTTCGATGGCCCACAAGATTCGCGACAAGTGGGCCGGAGCCCAAGCGGTTCCAGCGTGCAAAGGTTTGCTCAACGATGCGTATTTTGGTCCCCCAGTAGTGCCCGTTTACCCTTTTTTGGGGGAGGGTTCCCCTACGGAAATAGACTACAGAAAAGTGCACCCTTATTCTAACCTGTCTTCTGGAGGACCTGGGTATGCTTGCGAGCTTGCTATGGTTCATGGTTTTGAAGAGTCGAGGGAGGTTCCAGACCATGAGTAGAAAGTTTGACGACCCATGCCGCATGGGACTGGGACTTGGATTCTCGGCGTCCTCAAAGCAACCCAAGGAAGGCACTCACCAAACTGCCAGGTGGTGCAACGACATGGCCCCCTCACACGCCAAATGCCCAGGCAAGCGCCCTGCAAAAAATGCGGACATTTTTTGCTTTTGGGGCTAGGTTGCATGTTCCACCAAAGATGTGATTTGTCCTTCGTCCATGGTCGTTCAATCCATGATGGGGTCCGCGGTCTCAACATCAGGTTCTGTCACTGATTGAGAGTGAAGAAGCCCCATTCAAGATCAGAAGGGGCACCACCTTCGAAGGAAGATTCACGCATTTTGCAGTTCCCGCTTGCAGTGAATTCTTATCTATTTGCCCCTTTTGCAGTTTCAGGGTACTTACCTGGTAGATCAACTTCAATGTCCTTGTGTAGGGTGTTGGTGCCATGTAGGGTAGATCTTTCCTGCTTTCATTGGGTGCACCGTTTTCACCTTACCAAGAGGAAAACACTATTTTGGGGAGTCCCCTAAAAGAAGCGCCCATCTGGAACAGAGACAGAACCATTCTGGTTTACAGGTGTTTTTCCCCGCGATGCTTGAAGCTGACCACTTTTGGATTGAGGAATGGACGGTCAAATTCACCATGATTACGGCAGGTCAAAAATATTGAGAAGATCATCCTCAACAACTTCCGCGATGTGGGCAAAGGACATATGGGTGGGAGTTGGCATATGTAGGTTGTTTGTTTTGCAATGCATTGGTTGTGTTGTTGTCTCGTTGCAGTGTGATGTGTTAATCTGTCAGCTCGCTAGTTCGCTTGTTCGGTGGTAATTAGCCAGCTGGCTGGCTAGCTGGTTTGTTCGTTCATTTGTTAGCTAGTTTGTGAATGTATGTATGTTTGTTTGCTTGCTTGCTTGCTTGCTTGCTTGCTTGCTTGCTTGCTTACTTTCTTCGCTTGCCTGGTTGCTGGTTTGTTTGTTTCCTTGTTTCCTCATTTTTTTGTTGTTTTGTGTATTTGTTTGTTTGCTTGTTTGTTTGGTTGGTTGGTTGGGGTTGGTTGGTTGGTTGGGGTTGGTTGGTTGGTTGGCTGGCTGGCTGGCTGGCTGGCTGGCTGGCTGGTTAGTTGGTTGGTTGGTTGGTTGAATGAATTGATCGATTGATGGATTGGTTGGTTGGTTGATTGGTTGATTGGTTGATTTGTTGATTTGAGTTGATTGGTTGATTCAATTTGATTTGATTCGTTGGTTGATTTGATTGGTTGGTTGGTTGGTTGGTTGGTTGGTTGGTTGGTTGGTTGGTTGGTTGGTTGGTTGGTTGGTTGGTTGGTTGGTTGGTTGGTTGATGGATTGATTTATTTATTTATGTATTTATTTATTTATTTGATTTGATTTGATTGATTGATTGATTTATTTATTGATTGATTGTTTGTCTGTTTGTTTGTTTGTTTGTTTGTTTGCTGGTTTGCTTGCTGGTTTGCTTTCTTGATTGCTTGTTTGTTTGTCTGCTTGTTTGTTTGCTTGTGAGTTTGTTTGGTTGGCTGCTTTGTGTGTGTGCTTTGCTGCTTTGCTTTGCTTGTGCTTTGTTGCTTGCGTATTTCATTGCTTGCTTGGTAGCCACTGCTTTGCGTGTTCTCTTGCCTGGCCTGCCTTGCCCTGCCTTGCTTGCTTGCTCCTTGCTTGAATTCTTGCTTGCCTGTCTGCCTGCCTGCCTGAAAGGGCGCTTCCGGTGATTCGGAGACCGCGCCGTTTTTGGATGGTCTCCTTTATCATCCTGTCCTTAGGGTCACCCCCTAACCAGTGGGCAAAAAATGGCGCGACTGCAGCTTCTTCCGCGGCCTGGCAGGCTGGTTCTCCATCCATGAGACCAACCAAGACACCTATCGCCAGGGGAAGCTGAAGAAGCTTCTGGTGCCTCCGGCGTTTGCGGGGTGAGTCGCGGTTGCTCAGAAAGCCCGAAATTAGTTTGGGGGGGATGTTTGGGGGGGTTAACCCATGGTTCTTGCACATTGGGGCCCAAGGGCTGTGTGAGTCATGAATTGTATGGGTCCGAGATCGGATGTGATGCACTTTTCTGGTGTCGGAGGTGAAGAGTCAGTTATCCTCATGAGAAGCCGCCCAGAACAAACCATGGTCCATTGGCACGTTGGAGGGACTGATTGCGGGCCATGGGCTTGGGGTCCTTGACTGACGTATGCTAAAAGGGGGGCAGATATTCGCCCTGCGTTTTCTTTCCATGGATTTGGGTCAGCCTTTTCAACAAGGCGGGTCTCAGCACAAGCCACCAGAGTGCAGCAATACTCAGGCCTTAAACCAGCCATGGTCTCAATGGTCTTGGATGTTTGAGGCCCAAGAGCTAAGCACGTGGCAAATGGACCTGAGAGGTAACGGCCCCAGGTGTTCGCGTAGCTTCCGCATTTGTTTTTTTCACTTTTCGATGCCGTCGCAGCAAAAGAAACTGAGGCCCACCTCGTTTGATCGCTTCATAGCCGCCGATTTGGCCAAACTCTGCCGGATTTGGAGGGAGTGGACTGGGCGGGCCTTGGGTTTTGGGAAGGCAGTGGTCAAGAACATGATGCAATATTTTTTGGAGTTCTTTGCGGCGGCCTCAAGATCCGATGGCGGAAGGGTGGCGGGGGGGGAGGGGGCAGGGCTTCCAGCGGCTTCATTTCAGCGTATCCCGCCACTCAGCCCAAGTGAGTCGGATTGCTGAAGAACCGTTTAGGACCCCATGAAACGAAACCAAGGGAAGCTTCTGGTGTAGCGAGTCGCCTGTGGCGCCAACCTCTTCAACCTTGAAGCCTGACATTTGAACCTGGATGCAACGCGACACCTGTCCGGCATTTTCCTGAGACCCCTTGCCCAGCTGGCGGTTGGAACGCGAGCCAAGGAGATGGGGCTAGCCAATGAGATGGGACTATCCAAATTTCGCCCTTCGGAGCTACTGGGAGTCAGGCTAACGACATGGTACCTACAGCATGAAGTAAGAATTAGTGCATATTCCCGCTACAATTGGCTCAGAAGTTATGCTGCGTGCGGAAGTGGTTGCCGCCGCTGCTCTCAGCCTCTCGGCCTCTCGGCCTCTCGGCCCTAGGCACTGGACTCTGTGGATGACTACTGCCATGGCTTGGAGGCCAGGGTGCCTCTGTCACAGATCTGCTTGCAGTGCCTTAGTTGCTCTTGGCTTGGATCTTGGGACTTTAAGACTTGTTGGTTGCAACAGCTGGGAGTTTCCGGTGCACACAAAGCTGTTCACTTTTTTGCCGAGGGTTCGGTTGCAAGAGCCTTCCACTGTCACAATTGTGTTTTTTCCCGGTGCAGTACCATCAATTTATTGCCCCATGCGCTGGTTGAGATGGCAAGTCCTGAGGTGTTTGGAAGCCCTTGCGGGTTACATCGCCTTTCCTGGGACCTGGGACTGGGTTCGCTATGAACCAGACAAAGAAACCCTTAAGGAACACCTCCAAAGCACCGGGCTCCGGCGGGTGTGGCGCGGGAGAAAGGGCCTGAGGGTGTCGTGAGGGGGTTTGGCGCGGGAGAAAGGGCCATTCGTGAGTTTTTTGTGGAGGGTAAACGAGGGGATCCTGCGGCAACTTGAAACCATGGTTGAAACCATTGTTTGTTGGCATTTCTAGGGGAATCATCAGAGACCAGGGTTTCTGAACGGTGGCGCCTAAGAGGATTTCGCAACCATCCGCAGCATGCTGACACCCAAAGGCACTCTGACGCCTTTGATGCCCAGGTCCCCCAGTAGTGCCCTTTTGCCCTTTTTGGGGGGAGGGTTCCCCTAATAGACTAGAGAGAAAGGATACCCTTATCCTAACCTCTCAAATCTGGAGGACCTAGATGCGAAAGGAGCTTCTCAGACGCCAGGAATTGTGCCCGGAGCGCGTCGAGGTCACGGACCTCATGACTGCCCGTCGGCCTGGGAAGGGGGGGGTTTCCGGCGCCGTTTGTGGTTGGTGGCTCCCTGCCATGTTCCTCAGCTTGTAGGTTTTACGGTTTGGTGGAAGTTTCTATTTCATTTAACCCACTAAAGGTTGAACTTTTAGCAGGGCCCTTGAAGCTGGGCCAGCCTTGCTGAGTACATTCACTTGCTCCGCGGCCCCTCTAGGTTTGTGTTGGGTCTCCTTGGGTTACTTCGAACAATGCCCGTTCTGCAAATTCTATTTGACCACTGGAGTTTGACAACTATACATTAGTGCCTCCATTTGGGTATGTGTGAGATCTCTTTTTGGAACCTCGCCATTTCCCCCCCCCATTCCGACACCCCATTTTGTTTGAGAGGATTAAACCCATGGTAAACCATCCCCATGGGTTTCATGGGCTTAACAAAAACAGCCCTTGGGGTGCTGGAAGCCATCTTTTTCCGCGTGTGGCCCGCCCATTGGCGGCTGCGTGGTTGCCGCGTCCACGCCGTCTCCCGCATCTGAGGTGCAGAGCGAGTTTGAGGAGCGGCCAAGGCCTTTGCCCGCCAAGCGGGGGGGCAGCCGCCAGCTGCTGCCACCAGGCAGGGCGTAAAGCACAGGAACAGGCCCACAAACACACAGTACGGTTGCGTTCTTGTTGTTTTTTTTCTCTCTCTCCCTCTCTCGCTTTCTTCTTTTTCTCTTTCTCTTCTCCCCTGTCCTTCTCCCCCGCTTCCCCTCTCACTCCCTTTCACTCCCTTTCACTCCCTTTCCCTCCCATTGGGTTGTTGAACAGGCTGTGGAGGCGCCTTATGCTCCATATATTGTTTGTTTTGGCCGCTGCAGTTGCTCCAGAACGCGCTTCGTGATAAATTCTCACAGCCATGTGCCGTCAGCGTGCCTAGTCCACGCGGAAAGGTGCGTCCTGTTTGCTCCCGCTGTTGCGAGTACGCGTTCACCCATGCATCTAGCCAGGCAAACATGATATAGACATATCACGGGCTTTTTGCCTGCAGGGCCGCTTTAAAAGGCCGGCTTTTGTGGATTCCGCACCTGCTTTGTCATATCCTGGGCAGATTTTTCCCTTGGCTGCGGGGTTTCCACAGGGCCCCCTGGCCACTCCAATGCTATTCCTACACTTCCAATGCTTTTCCTTTGCCTTTTCCAAAGCCATGTTTGCCTCAGGAATGAATTGCCACAAGGCACCATGCACGGTCAAGGAAGCATAAGGAAAACTGCTGCCAAACTGCATCTTGGGGGAAGAGACCCCATTTCAACACACATATGATATGCTCATGCGCAAAAAAGGCACCGCACACAATGCGTTTGCTCTCCATTTCCCCTTCAACGAGATCCAGAGACCCAATTTCCGGGGGAACCTGCTGTTTCTAGCTTGGTATATTGAAATCCGTTGGGCGCGTGCTTGTTTGAACAGCCCGTTTGGCTGAGTGAGTGGGAGTGGCGGGCCTGCGGCATTGTGCGAGCCGGGCAGCGAAGGTGTTTGGCCAACTTTTGCCGAGATTGAGTGCTACTGATCCATAGGGAGTTTGTGACTCAGACTGTCTCGAGGTACCATGAGGTGTCCAGAACAGAGGCTTCGCGGGGTTGCGTCACGCAATAAATTTGTGGCATGAGGACGGCCTGGCGCAGCCTTCTACGGAGTAGAGTGCTGGCCTCATCTGGGTGGTCTGACTGAACTGAAAGCCTTTGCTGACCATCGGTGCATGCAATCGTGGCGGAAGGAAGCCCAAACATTCACCTGGTAATATAGCGAGCTCGCCATGATTTTGGTCCTTTACTTGCCGATCCCTGAATTCAGCTGTCGGAACTGTTGGAATAATGCAGATAGTTTCGTTGGTGTTTCCAGTCGCAGGTTTACGACCTCCAATTTGGTCTTGTTGTGCCTAGCCCACGTGCTCAGCACCGCAGGTTGCAACAGCTTGAATTTTCCCCCGCTGGTGACCCCTCATAAACCATCCCCTGTGGTTTCCATTTAAGGGGACCCCCTCGCCAACACCCGGAAGGGTCATTCCTTCCTTATCGCACCAGCAAGTTTTGACTCCTAGCCCAGAACCTGTAGTAAGACCATTCGCGCCACCAGTGCCCCTAAATCTGGGGGTCATGATTTTGACTGTCTCTGGGAGCTGTAAAAGTCAGAAAATGGGGTTGTTTCCCTTCATCCACTTAGGGGTAAAAGAGATGCGGCCAGTAAACTGCTGGGTGCTCTGGGCTGGAGCCGCGTTTTGCCCAGTCACGACGATGAAATGACCGACCTCAAAGCCGGGTCCGCGCTCTTCTTGCTGGAGATCAAAGTGGAGGCCGTTTCTGCTCCGAAAAAAATCGCAGCTGGAGTGGGTTTGCCCCAACTTAAAGACATCCGACCAGGGGCAAATTGAAGGTCTTATTTATTTCACCCCGTGCCGGCTTGGCAAACCACAAGTTGCTATAGCTGTAGGGTCAAGCACATCAATTTATTGGCATTTCGGACCAACATTGCATGGATCAAGCTGATGGATGACCATGATCGGACAACCCAAAGCATGACAGTGCTTGCCACAAACAGTAGCGAACAAGCAAACAGGTGGTTTCCATTCACCAGCCAGTTGTGAACTCCTGCCTATTTCCCATGGGTTTCAGCACAGTGTTCGGGCGGTAGTCTCCCCTTGCGGAAAAGGTGAACATTGGTGCACAGGGCCGTTTTTGAAACGTCGCGCTATGGAAGTTAACAACAATAAGTCCTTTCCAGCAGAAAGCTTGCCTTAGAGGTGTTTGTGCACATGTTCATCTTTGGCGCTATTCCTGGAAGCCTAAGTGAGGCCCGAGCCTTTGTTGTTGGCTTTGCGGTTGAAGAGCCCGAGTTCCCATGTCCAGTTCTGCTTGGCTTGTCACAAGGCAAGCGGAAGGGAGCTCCTGGAGCCTTCACCCCGCGGAATATCCTCCCAATGGTGGACGCAACAAAATGGCTGGGTTGGTTGGTTTGTTGGTTTGTTTGTTGGTTGGTTGGATTGTTGGTTGGTTGGTTTGTTGGTTTGTTGGATTGCTGGGTGTAATGGGGTCTTTCAATTTTGGGGGGAAGTTTCCCTTTGGACGCAGCTCGCTAGCAAAATGATGTCCACCAAAGGGGCCCTGCGTGTTCAAACATCGACGAGCCATCGCAGGGAGCTTTCTTTGTCTCAGCCAAATGGGCACCAACTTGACTGCTATTGGGTTGGATCTTTAGACTTTAACTTTTTGGGAAATCAAGGGGTTTTCCACTACACCTGCAGGGGGGTCAACAGCGACCAAGCCTTCGTCTTAGCCATATAGGCACCAACTATCAAAAAAATCTCGCGAATTCAGAGGAATCTCCTGGCCCCCGCTGCAGCCCTTTCCTCACACACGACATGGGGAGGACAAGTCCTTCGCCTACTCCACCAGCAGCGGGCGTCCCAGCGGGCTCAAACCTAGCGGAAAATCGGGAAAAATGCAAGGGCCCCTTGAAGTGGGAACAGGGGATGATTCATTCCTCCGGATGGAATCAGAGCTTCGATTTTTTTCCCCAGAAAGCTGAAAGCTATAGGGGTTCTAACTTCTAATAAAGAAGGAAAAGTGATTTGCGAGATTGACGGCCGGGTGCTAGGAGGCATGCGGTTTGGGGTGCTGGTGGAGGTGCTGTTTTGCGAGACTGACAGCCGGGTGCTAGGGGCATGCGGTTTGGGGTGCTGGTGGAGGTGCTGTTTTGCGAGACTGACAGCCGGGTGCTAGGGGCATGCGGTTTGGGGTGCTGGTGGAGGTGCTGTTTTGCGAGACTGACGGCCGGGTGCTAGGGCATGCGGTTTGGGTGCGAAGACTGACGGCCGGGTGCTAGGGGCATGCGGTTTGGGGTGCTGGTGGAGGTGCTGTTTTGCGAGACTGACGGCCGGGTGCTAGGGGCATGCGGTTTGGGGTGCTGGTGGAGGTGCTGTTTTGCGAGACTGACGGCCGGGTGCTAGGGGCATGCGGTTTGGGGTGCTGGTGGAGGTGCTGTTTTGCGAGACTGACGGCCGGGTGCTAGGGGCATGCGGTTTGGGGTGCTGGTGGAGGTGCTGTTTTGCGAGACTGACGGCCTAGGGGCATGCGGTTTGGGGTGCTAGTGGAGGTGCTGTTTTGCGAGACTGACGGCCGGGTGCTAGGGGCATGCGGTTTGGGGTGCTGGTGGAGGTGCTGTTTTGCGAGACTGACGGCCGGGTGCTAGGGGCATGCGGTTGGGGTGCTGGTGGAGGTGCTGTTTTGCGAGACTGACGGCCGGGTGCTAGGGGCATGCGGTTTGGGGTGCTGGTGGAGGTGCTGTTTTGCGAGACTGACGGCCGGTGTGCTTTTGCAGACTGACGGCCGGGTGCTAGGGTGCATGCGAGTGACGGCCGGGTTAGGGGTGAGAGGTGCTGTTTTTTCGGGTGCGCAGTGGAGGTGCTGTTTTGCGAGACTGACGCCGGGTGCTAGGGGCATGCGGTTTGGGGTGCTGGTGGAGGTGCTGTTTTGCGAGACTGACGGCCGGGTGCTAGGGGCATGCGGTTTGGGGTGCTGGTGGAGGTGCTGTTTTGCGAGACTGACGGCCGGGTGCTAGGGGCATGCGGTTTGGGGTGCTGGTGGAGGTGCTGTTTTGCGAGGCTGACGGCCGGGTGCTAGGGGCATGCGGTTTGGGGTGCTGGTGGAGGTGCTGTTTTGCGAGACTGACGGCCTAGGGGCATGCGGTTTGGGGTGCTAGTGGAGGTGCTGTTTTGCGAGACTGACGGCCGGGTGCTAGGGGCATGCGGTTTGGGGTGCTGGTGGAGGTGCTGTTTTGCGAGACTGACGGCCGGGTGCTAGGGGCATGCGGTTCGGGGTGCTGGTGGAGGTGCTGTTTTGCGAGACTGACGGCCGGGTGCTAGGGGCATGCAGTTTGGGGTGCTGGTGGAGGTGCTGTTTTGCGAGACTGACGGCCGGGTGCTAGGGGCATGCGGTTTGGGGTGCTAGTGGAGGTGCTGTTTTGCGAGACTGACGGCCGGGTGCGATGCGGTTTGGGGTGCTGGTGGAGTGCGTTTTGCGAGACTGGCCGGGTGCTAGGGGCATGCGGTTTGGGGTGCTAGTGGAGGTGGAGGTGCTGTTTGGCGAGCTTGACGGCTGGTGCCAGGAGGCATGCTGCTTTGCGAGCTTGACGGCTGGGTGCTAGAAGGCGTGCAGTTTGGGGTGCTAGTGGAGGTGCTGTTTTGCGAGACTGACGGCCGGGTGCTAGGGGCATGCGGTTTGGGGTGCTGGTGGAGGTGCTGTTTGGCGAGCTTGACGGCTGGGTGCTGGGGGGCATGAAGTTTGGGGTGCTAGTGGAGGTGGAGGTGCTGTTTGGCGAGCTTGACGGCTGGTGCCAGGAGGCATGCTGCTTTGCGAGCTTGACGGCTGGGTGCTAGAAGGCGTGCAGTTTGGGGTGCTAGTGGAGGTGCTGTTTTGCGAGACTGACGGCCGGGTACTAGGGGCATGCGGTTTGGGGTGCTGGTGGAGGTGCTGTTTGGCGAGCTTGACGGCTGGGTGCTGGGGGGCATGAAGTTTGGGGTGCTAGTGGAGGCGGAGGTGCTGTTTGGCGAGCTTGACGGCTGGTGCCAGGAGGCATGCTGCTTTGCGAGCTTGACGGCTGGGTGCTAGAAGGCGTGCAGTTTGGGGTGCTAGTGGAGGTGCTGTTTTGCGAGACTGACGGCCGGGTACTAGGGGCATGCGGTTTGGGGTGCTGGTGGAGGTGCTGTTTGGCGAGCTTGACGGCTGGGTGCTGGGGGGCATGAAGTTTGGGGTGCTAGTGGAGGCGGAGGTGCTGTTTGGCGAGCTTGACGGCTGGTGCCAGGAGGCATGCTGCTTTGCGAGCTTGACGGCTGGGTGCTAGAAGGCGTGCAGTTTGGGGTGCTAGTGGAGGTGCTGCTTTGCGAGACTGACGGCCGGGTGCTAGGGGCATGCGGTCTGGGGTGTTGGTGGAGGTGCTGTTTGGCGAGCTTGACGGCCGGGTGCTAGGAGGCATGCAGTTTGGGGTGCTGCGGGGAATGCAGTTTGGGGTGCTAGCGGAGGTGCTGTTTTGCGAGCTTGACGGCCGGGTGCCAGGGGGCATGCAGTTTGGGGGTGCTAGGGGGCATATAGTTTGGGGTGCTGGAGGCATGCAGGGTGCTAGTGGAGGCGCTGTTTTGCGAGACTGACATGAGACTGACGGCCGAGTGCTAGGGGTCATGCAGTTTGGGGTGTTGGTGGAGGTGCCGGTTTGCGAGACTGAGTGCTGTTTGGCGAGCTTGACGGCCGGGTAGGAGGCATGCAGTTTGGGGTGCTAGTGGTGCTGTTTTGCGAGCTTGACGGCCGAGTGCTAGGAGGCATGCAGTTTGGGGGCATGTGGTTGTGGGTGCTGGTGGAGGTGCTGTTTGGCGAGCTTGACGGCCGGGTGCTAGGAGGCATGCAGTTTGGGGTGCTAGTGGAGGTGCTGTTTTGCGAGAGGCTTCGGGTGGTGGAGGTGCTGTTTGGCGAGCTTGGCGGCGGCCGTGAGCTTGATGGCCGGGTGCTAGGGGGTATGCAGTTTGGGGTGCTAGGGGGCATGCATTGTGGAGGTTCTGTTTTGCAAGATTGACGGCCGAGTGCTAGAGGGCATGCGGCTTGGGGGTGCTGGAGGAGGGGCCATGTGGGGTGCTGGTGGAGGTGCTGTTTGGCGAGCTTGACGGCCGGGTGCTAGAAGGCATGCAGTTTGGGGTGCTAGTGGAGGTGCTGTTTTGCGAGAGCGCTAGGGGGCATGCGATGGCCGGGTGCTAGGGGGTATGCGGTTTGGGGTGCTGGTGGAGGTGACGGCCGGGTGCCAGGGGGCATGTAGTTTGCGGCGCTGGTGGTGCTGTTTGGTGCCTGGCTGTTTAAGGCGCTGATGGACAGCGGCTAGGGGGCATTCAGCGCGTGGTGCTGGTGCAGGTGCTGCTCTGGGGTGCTGTTTGAGGTGCTGGTGGATTGATGGCCGCAAGCAGTTTGGGGTGCTGATGCAGGTGTTGTTTTGGGGAGCTGTTTGGAGTGCTGTTTGAGGTGTTGGTGACGTCGGGCCGAGATTACCGGCGGGTGCTAGAGGGCATGCAGTTTGGGGTGGTGGTGCAAGTGCTGTTTTGGGTTGCTGTTTGAGGTGCTGCTGACCGCGCGGGCGCGTATTTCCGAGATAACTGAAAGCCATAGCGGTTCTAACTTCTAGTGAAGAAGGGGACTTGTTTGCAATCGAGGGCTGGCGGGGGGTCGTGCGCTTTGGGGTACTGGCGCAGGTGAGGGCGCAGTTCGGTTGAGGTGCTGGTGACAGTGCTGTGTTGGGGTGCTGCCGGGACTGCAGTTTTTGCGGTGCTGGTGTCGGTGCGGGCGCATATGGATGGCAGGGTGCTAGGGCGGGTGCTGTTCGGGGTAGCGTGGTTGTGGCATCCTCCTGATGTTGTCCGCAGCATCATGATGCTGTTGCACCGATTCTGTCGCGTGTAGTGGTTTGTGGCTAGTGTATCATCATGATGTTGGCAACCACGTCATGATGCTGCTGGAATCGCTGCGATGCTGGGTTATGGTTCGCGGGTGTGGTGGCAGCATGATGTTGTCAACGTCGGGATGATGCTGAATTTCATTACGCTGTCGCAAGATGATTTTGTGGCTCCGCGTCATCAGGATGATGTCCGCATCATCATGATGCTGTTCGTATCATCATGATGCCGCGGTCTCTGCCTCGTTTTGCTAGATATGTAGCGCGGGATCGTTCGCGGCTAGTGTATCAGCATTATGCTGCTGAACTCAGTAGGACGTTGCCTGCGCGTCTATTTAGCGCACCATGCATGAGTCGCTGTGGTATCATCATGATGATGTTAACTTATCATGATCATGTTGACAACATCATCATGATGCCTTGGGAACCGTTACGGTGCTGCGTCATGGTTCGTATGTGCTATCTGGGGTCTATGCTGGTGTATTTTCGAGTTCATAGCAATTCCCCGCGCGAGGTCAAGTCGTTTTTTTTTGCATTGAGTGGGTGAAGGTTGCCGAAGGTTGCGAAACAGCTTCTGTTGAAGATGTGTGTGGGCTTGGTTGAAGCGGTTTTTGTCTGAATCAGGGCGGGTTCCAGCCTGGGTTCAGGCTTGGTGGAGTTATCATGTTTCCCCAGTGGTTGTTTGTTGCATAGGGTGTTGGTTGCTGAACGGTGTTAAACAATAATAAAGTTAAACTTACTGGAGAGCTTGTTCTTCATGCGTACGGGTAGTTTGTGGACATTTGCTCTCGAAACATGCTGTTGGTGAACTTCGTGACTGTGTGCATCTTATATTGTCTTTTTTGTAACGTTGAAAAAGGCGGACAGTTGCAATCGAGACAGCCTATGGAGACTTCAATCTTTGGACAGGCGATATCATTTTGCGAGACGTCTACTTGGCGCAGAGGCGTTCAGAAGACCCCCTGCATTATGAGCAATGTCCCACCTAGCGCGCTGACAATGACCCAAACCATGCATGACACATGACAAACCGGACATCAGCACCGATGGCGGGGAACATCAGCACTTAACCTGAGTGCTATTGGGTTGGATCTTTAGACTTTAACTTTTCGGGAAATCCGGGGGTTTGCCACTAACCCCCCCAAAAGGTTAAAAGCTTTTTGCAGGGGGGTCGTGCCAGCCACCAAGTCAACTTCAACCCTGACTAAGCCCACACGAACGTACACTTGGGCTCCGGGAGCCAGCCCGAAATCTGCCTTGAGTCAATTGGGAGCTCGCTCGGGGCCTGCAACGAGATCCGTATCAATCATATCCATGGTAAGTTTTCCAGGGTTGGGGTTGCAGCCCTGAAGGCAGCCTGGAGCATGTTCGGATTCCGGGGCCGCATCAAGCCGCGGTTTCCATGTGCGGCTTCAGCTTCAAGCAGAGGTACGACCTGGAGATGGAGGTGGTCGGCTCCCGCTGGTTGCCGAGGCAGGTCCAGGTCTGTGGCGGTCTGGCCAGCGCCGAGGCTCAAGGAAACTCAGAGTTGGCATTGGCAAAAGCCCCCTTTTTTGCGGAAGCCATTGTACCTTGAAGTTAGGAGCTGCGATGGGCAGAATTTTTGCCGCCATCGTCACGAAGCTAGCTTGCTAGCCAAGGGATGGCTTGCTTTGCCGATTCCCACGCTTGCGGCTCAGGAGTTTTGATTTCGGAAGGTGACTTTTCCTTTACGAACGCCTCCCCCCTTCCTCCGGCTGCAAGGCTGCCCACTCTTACATTGCTTTTCTCGGCTGCACTCTTTTCCCCGCTCTTCTTCCCGATTGCTTTTTTGCTTCCCTGTTTGCCCTGCTCTTCTGCCCACTTGTTGTTTCCAGCTCTTCGCTCCGCTCTTCTCCACGCTCTTCTCCCCATGGGCGCCGCTCTTCTCTCCGCTCGCTTGCCCAGTCTTCGCTCCCCTCTTCTCTCCTCCCTTTGCTCCGCCCTTTGCTCTGCTCTTCGCTCCGCTCTTTTCTCCGCTCTGCTCTTCGCTCTTTTCCCTCTTGTAAAACTTCCGCGCTGTTTGTTGCACTGTGCCGTGTGTTACGCGCTCTGTTCCTTGAATTCGCTTTGAAGGAACCACCTAATCAAGAGTCAGGGCTGCTTGGGTGCTTTGGCCATCGTTCTTTTCTTCTTGTTGGTTCTCTCTCTGAGTCTGTCAACCCCCAAAAGTCCGCCGAAGCGAGGTGCCAGCTTTCTATTGCTGAGTTCGTGTCCCCAGTGGCGCCAGGCGGGGCGGAAGGCTTCCACCTCTCCGGGCACCGCACGGCCAAGCCCTGAGCCCCTTTTCGCTCGCTTAGATTGGCGTGCTGGAGCCGCGGGTGCTCTTAGTCTTTGCAAAAGACGAATTAGGCTGAAAGGCGCGTTTGATGATCATATTTCTGGATTGCTTTGAGTGCCGACTGCATATTGCAGCCAGCAACTGAGGACATAGTGACAAACACCGACGCCACGGTGCGACGCATCTTCGATTTCCTTGGCTTGGATTCCAATGTCCCATTGCCCTCCTTGCAGTCTGTGCAGCCAGAGGAGGTCATGGCGCCTTTCATCAATTGTCGGAATAGTGCCGCAGCTTGCATGCCGAGTTCTGAGCAGTTTGTGGCAGCGAGTTGCCATAAGTTCTTAGTTTCCTCCATGAAATACCTGCCTCTAAACGTGTTTTGTGTATATACTTGGCGGTCTCAAGGGTGTTGTGGCTTCGCAAATTTAGGTTGCGCAAGATGTGTATGAACGCGCTCGCATCGTTTTGGTTCCATGATTTTTGAGGTGCCATGTTTGGCTTGGAACTGTTTGTGCTTAAGCAAAGCACGAGCCCTGTGCCGCTGCGCCGTCGCCTGGCTTGTGTGCTCACAGATGCGACCCCAAGAAACATCGTTTGGCAGCTCACTCCCCATCATACCAAGCCCTGCATTTGTTGGTAGTGGCGCAATTTTTCGGAACGTCAATGTTGGTGCTGAAACCTGTAGACCCGCCATCTTTTTGTATGTTTCCCCGAACTTGAGCCAAAACCCTAAGTCCACAGGAAACCGAGGACTTCACCATGGTCTCGGAGAACGAGGCCCAGGACCCGTCAGAGGAGGCAGAAATGCTCAGAGCTTATGCCCAGCATCGCCTTCGAGATTTTGCTCGAGCAAGATCGGTGAGAAAAAGGGGCGTGAATCCGCCACTTGGGTGTGGATTCTTCTGTGAGTTGGAGGCAGTGGACGTAAATGCACACATGGCTGTGTTCTTGTGAGTACTTGTTTTTTTTGGGGAGCGGCCTTTTGGGCAACCAAAAAGGAACCTCCCATTTTTCCCATTTGATGACACACCAAATGCCAGAATGGGTGAGTGCTTCCACACGTTTGCGCCTTGCCTTGCCTTGCCCGACTTGATCTCTACGGCGTGGCCATGCGAAAGAGCTGCGAAGGTTCCGGGCGAAGGGAAACGAAGCCGCGGCACGCAATCCGTGCGGGTAGGCAGACCGAGCCGCGCAAAAGTCTAGCATGCATGGAAGGTGTTTTTTGGGGGTACCCTTTTTTGCCTGGGAAACCACAAGGAAGTGGGTGTTCTCCCCCTATTTTGAGAGAACCCCACATGCAGCGTTTTGGAGTGGGCCCCCAGTTCTGCACTACCAGCCACTCTGCGGCGAACCAGGGTTCCAAAAAAGGATACCTCCCCAGCACCTGATTTACAAGGGCTTCCTCTGACTCAGCTGATCAAGGTATGCTTTAACTAGAATGGCTATGCAATTGGCCATGCGTTGCCAACCAACCTGCCGGCCAGCGGCTCCAAAAGAGAACTGCCAAAATGGAAACGGCCGACTGGGCTTCAAAGCCCCACAACCCGGTTCTAATTGCTGAGGCCCTTATGGTACATCAATTACCGGAACCAGTCAGTCAACCTTACCTTTGCCACCAATGGCCATGAAGGCGGTGCTTGCACTGTCGCCCTGCCTGGGTGCGGCCTGGGACGCTCAGCCCACGCGCTACGCTGATGCGGAGTGTAGCCAGCTTATCGGCACGGAGGTGAATTGGACCAAAGCGGGAAATGGGACGAACTGTTTCCATTGGCAGGGAGGCGTCTCCAGGAGGAACCTGCAGCTCGAGTGCAATGCCCAGGAAACCGGGCAGATGCTCTTCAGCATCCATGAGGGCGAAAACTGCAGTGGCGCTGTGGTGGAGACTGTGCCATTCCTGGATTTAGACACTCAGAGCATGCTGGAGTACTTTGCAGGGAAGTGCACCTGGATCCCCGATGGCGAGTCCTATGGGCTCATGGCGCAGGCAGACGGATTGGACTTAATGAGCTGCTACAGCTCCTGCCTGCCGGCGAACTCCAAGGTGTGCCAGACGGATATCTCGGAGGCTTCCCTCTTTGAGCTCGGCTCCGACCCTCTGGAGCAAAGGAACTTGGCCTGGCAGAAGCCCCGAAAAGTGGCGGAGCTGAGGGCCGAGATGGATGCCAAGTTCAAGGAACAGCAGGCGTTGCCGACCTTTGGGGATCCCGGGGTTCCACAGGACGCGCAGGACATGATGGCCAGGTGGGGTGGCTTGGGCCCATACAAGGAGTGGCAAGAGTGCGGGAGCAAGGACTGCAAACCGCCGAAGAAGAGCTGGAGAATTCGCTCGGGCGCCACCAGGAAAGAAAAGGCGCCGCATATAATTTTCTTCATGGCAGATGACTGGGGCGTCAACGACATCGGCTTCAACTCTACTCACCTCAGCTTTGCCACGCCCACGATGGATGCCATGAAGGCAGGGGGAATTCACCTCAAGAACTACTACGGTGCCTCGTCCTGCTCGCCCGCCCGAGCCACCTTCCTCACGGGCCGCTACACTCACCGCACTGGATTCCACAAGGCGCCGCCGCACCCCATCCTGAACACCAAGTACAGCACGATCGCTGACGAGTTCAAGGCCCTCGGGTACCACACGGTCGGACTCGGGAAATGGCATCTAAGCTCTCCGGTACCGATCGATTTTCAGCCTTAAGGACACTTCTAACACATGACAAAGGTTTCCCAAACTCAGGAAGTCTAGTAGTTTTGGAGGTCACTGCCAACTCAGGCATATGGGCTTTGAGAATTGGACATACCATCCCTTGTGGCGCGGCTTCGACGACTACTATGGCTTTTGGTCCGGCTACATAGGCTTCTGGGACTATGAATCGATCATCGTGAAGGACCAGAAACTGCTTGGTTTCTTGTTGATCATTCTTTGGCCTTTGGATTGGCAAGATCTTCCTAAGTCGTTGGGTTCGGTTTTGGCTCGTGACTGGCGTGAGGACAACAAGAGCATCCCGGACATGTTTGACAACTTGGAGCCTGCCGCTGAAGCTAAAAGTCGAAAGTGGGCCCCAACGCTCTTGAAGGAGAAGGCTCGCATGCACATTCTGAACCATGCGGCGAACTACGACACACCCCTCTTCATGTACTACGCGATGCATTCCATGCACAATGATGGCCACGGCTTTGACGCCCCAGAGTCTTACCAGGCGATGTGCAAGGTGAAGAACCAGACAGATGGCTATGAGGGCGATAAGGACCTCATGGTCAAATACTGCGCCGGGCTCATCGCTATGGATGAAGCCATTGACGATGTCTTTAGAGCTTTACAAGAGACCAAGATGTTCTCGAACTCGGTGGTCGTTCTGAGTGGTGACAACGGGGGGCGCGTCCACTACCCCGAGCGCTACGAAGCCCAGTTCCGGAAGAAGTACGCCCACGTGCCAAGTTTGCTCGGAATGATGCAGCTGTCCCCCTTCGGTTCCTCTTATCCTTACCGGGGCGGCAAATTTGACCAGTCTGAAGGTGGTTACAGGATCCCAGGTCTCATTTACAGCCCTTTGCTGCCGGACAGTGCCAAGGGGACCACCTACGCGGGCCTGTTCCACATGGCCGACTGGTTGCCCACTTTGTACGGCTTGGCGGCTGAGGGTTATGGCGCAATGGACGCTTTGGATGGACTTTCTTTGGATGGCGCATACCTCAGCTTCTGTGGATCTAAGTGTCAGCCTTCCCCGAGTGGCATACCATTGCATGCTGTCTGTCGGCTTAGTCATGTCATCCCTCTTGCTGAACTCCCAAATCAAGCCCAATTTCATACTGCAGATGGTTGCCTCCAATATTCCGGGCGCCTGGACGTTGGTTGCATCGCAAGCGCCAGCCCCAAACTAAGGCTACGACATGTGGTCTGCTCTGACCGCTGGTGGTGATCCTCGCCAATTTGTTTGCCTACAGTACCCAAATGCATACCTCAAGAAGGAGACACTTCATGGCGAGACCAAGATCTGGAAGGCAGGGGCTGGAAGGGCAAGTCATGTCGTGTTGGAAAGCCATGCGCCATATGACGTCCTGAGCCCTCCCAAGAAGCAACTCTAGGAGGTGGTACTGGGGAGCTGAAGTTATGGTAACGCCTCTATAATGTGTGTATATTATATATATAGAGGTAGTATACATAATACATATATGCATATATATATATATATATACGGTGACGACTTTTAAATATGTGGGGGCCGGGCCTGGGCTTCAGGGCTGTGAAGTAGTGTAAGATATTTGTTTAAATCGGATATTTAAAGTGGCTGGCCGGGCCACCCTCACGGGCCTTGGAGGTAGAATGAAATACAAATTCGGATATTTAAATGGCAACACCGAGACAGACCCCTTGGTCCAACCTAAGGCGCCAAAGTCGGTGCAACACCGATGCCTGCAATTGCAGACCAGTGCTTTCGTAATTCCATGCTACATAAACGCCTGGAATTGCAGAGCAAAGTGTGCTGAATTGAGCGTCTACGTGGCTCGTGGAGAAAGAAAGCAAGAAGAACATGAATGCCCCTTGTCTCAGACGGGGCTCCCAGGTTTCCTTGAATTCTTGAAACTCCTGGCGTCTGGGGATGGGACTTGTTTTTTAACCCACAGAATGAAAAGAATTGGAAGAGAAGAAAGAGAAGCAAGAGAGAGAAAGAGAGAGAGAGAGAGAGAGAGAATGCCTGGATCTGGCATTGGGCCCTGTGTCAGACCTGTTTCAGACCTGTTTCAGACCTGTTTCAGACTCCTGCAAAAGGATCATCTCACAGCAGTGCAGCGGCTCGCGGGCCCTGGAGGTAGTATGAAGCACCAATTGGAACATGGTGCAACACCGATGCCTGCAATTGCAGACCAATGCTTTCGTAATTCCATGCTACATAAACGCCTGGAATTGCGGAGCTAAGTGCGCTGAATTGAGCTGCCTAAGCCCTGTCTACGTGGCTCGTGGAGAAAGAAAGCAAGATGGACATGAACGCCCCTTGTCTCGGACGGGACTCCCAGATTTCCTTGAATTCTTGAAACTCCTGGCGTCTGGGGACGGGACCTGTTGTTTTAACCCACAGAATGAAAGGAGTTGGAGAGAAGAAAGAGAAGCAAGAGAGAGAAAGCGAGAGAGAGAGAGAGAGAATGCCTGGATCTGGCATTGGGCCCTGTGTCAGACCTGTTTCAGACCCCTGCGAAAGGATCATCTCATATTCGCAACATCCTGCCAGCACCAATGCAGCAGCTCAGCGGCTCGCGGGCCCTGGAGGTAGCAATGAAGCACCAATTGGAACATGGTGCAACACCGATGCCTGCAATTCCATGCTACATAAACGCCTGGAATTGCGGAGCGAAGTGCGCTGAATTGAGCTGCCTAAGCCCTGTCTACGTGGCTCGTGGAGAAAGAAAGCAAGATGGACATGAACGCCCCTTGTCTCGGACGGGACTCCCAGATTTCCTTGAATTCTTGAAACTCCTGGCGTCTGGGGATGGGACTTGTTTTTAACCCGCAGAATGAAAAGAATTGGAGGAGAAGGAAGAGAAGCAAGAGAGAGAAAGAGAGAGAGAGAGAGAATGCCTGGATCTGGCATTGGGCCCTGTGTCAGACCTGTTTCAGACGCCTGCAAAAGGACCATCTCATATTCGCAAAACCCTGCCCCGAATCCGTAGCACACACGCTAGCTCCTGCCAATCCAACCTAAGGCGCCATGTCGGCGCAACACAGATGCCTCTAATTGCAGACCAACGCTTTCGAATTCCATGCCCACACATGCCTGGAATTGCGGAGCTAAGTGCGCCGAATTGAGCTGCCTACTGTCTACGCGGCTCGTGGAGAAAGAAAGCGAGAAAGACATGAATGCCCCTTGTCTCGGACGAAATTCGTGAATCTCCTGGTTTCTTGGGGCCTGTTTTTCAACAAATCCTAGAACAAGCGACTGGCTGCGGAAGACGTAACTGCAAGGCGGGCCGGGCCAGAGGCAGGCTTTCAAGACGTAACGCAAGTTATGTATCGAAATCGGGTATTTAAGTTGGTCGGCCGGGCTGGCGGTAACGCTGGCGGAGGTAGTATAAAATCTTTGTTGACCTATTTAAGTGTCCGGGTGTTTAAGTGGCGGCGCCGTATATTTATGTATACACGGGTATGTGTCGAAATGGAAGGCCCTCAAACCAATTAGCTCTCTTTTGCCCCACAGAATTCCTTCTCCTGGCTTCTTGGTCGCTTCCATTCAGCCTCCAATAAACGGACGCCCTCAACACAGACACACACACACACACACACAACACGCACGCACCCACACACACACAGCCACATCCACCCACACACACCCACCCACGCACGCCTGCACGCACGTATGCGCCCACACACACACACGCACACACGCGCGTGCGCAAACACGCAAACAGAAAGACACGAACACACAAACCCACAAAGACGCAAACAAACAAGCCCACAAACGCACGACCCACAAACGCAAAGACGCACAAGCGCACAAACACAAATGCGCGAACGTATAAACACCCAGACACACAAGGGAACAAGCGCACAAACACCCAAACATACGCACGCGCAAACACACAAACGCACACACACACACACAAGCAATCACGCAAACGCAGCCGCAAACACACAAACACAAAAATTACACCAGCATAGACCCCAGATAGCAGTACCTGCACAACTTCGCCGTCAATCGAGCAAAACTTCGCCCCGCAACATCGCCCTGAAGAGCACCCCAAACAGCACCCTCCAAGACATGCGCCTGCACCGTCACCTGCATGCCCGATAGCACCCGAGCGTCAACATCGCAAAAATGCGCCCACACCGTCACCACAAACTGCTCCCCACAAACTGCGTCCCACAGCACCATCAGCACCAGCGCCCCAAACTGCATCCCCCCCTGCGGCCTACCGTCAAGATACAAAAACAAACGCGCAAAGAGTCACCCCCCAAAACAGCACCTACACCAGCACCCCAAACTGCACACCCCCTAGCACCAACCCATCAATCTCGCAAATCACTTTCCCCTCTTTGCTAGAAGTTAGAACCCCTATAGCTTTCAGCTATTTGGGGGAAAAATCAAAATACACAAAAACACAACGGCGCAAAGAAACGCACAAAAAACACAACCACACAAGCGCACAAATACACAAACTCACAACGCAAAGACTCAAAAACGCACAAACCCGCAAACGCGCACAAACTCAGAAACGCGCAATTGCACAACCGCACAACCGCAGCACACAAACACACAAACATACAAAAACAAGCCCACAGACCCGCAACAACCGCGCAACGCACAAATGCACAAACACACACACACGAAGACACAAACACACAAACACCCAAACAGGCTAACACACTAATACACCAACCCGCCAACACGCTAACACACTAACACTAACACACAAGCACGTAAGCGCACAAACATGCAAACACAAGCATACGAACACACAAACACGCCAACAAGAAAACACACACACCAAAACGCAACCGCAGAGACACACACACACACAAACCCACACACACACACACGCGCACACACACACACACACACGCAAACACAAACACAAGCGTACACACACACACAAGCACACGCACAAACACATGCAAACACACACTCTCAAACAAACAAGCAAACAAACAAATAAGCAAAAAGACAAACAAGCAAATACACAATCAAAACAGCAAACAAGCAACCAAGCAAGCAAACAAACATACAAGCAAATAAGATTTGGGTTTGTCAGCGAAAGACGGGTCCAAAATCCTTTTTGAGAACACCGATGTAACCCTTCACACCCCAAAACGGAGGGCTTACTTCCAGCTTCACCGCTCCTAACACAATCCCAAGGTGTAGCATACCATCGTAGAGCCAACGGGTGAAGATCTGTGGGATTCTGCGAGGTGATCTTTGGGGAGGTGAGCAAAATCGAAGGCGCGGAGAAGCCCATCGTCTTCTTCGAGCCGGGGGAGAGCTGGGTGAACTCAACCTGCCTCAGGTCAACGCATCTTGGCCGCGGACCCCAGATGCGTCTCACTTTCCCAAAATGGGCTCCCCCCAAACTGAAGAGTGGAGCGTTACCATGTTGGGAAAGTGAACAAATTTAATGGAACAAAATGGGTCGAATCTTACTGGTTGCTCTGAAAAACATCATGCCCCTAGCTTTCTCAAGCCAAATCCTCTCGTGCCTATTTTCGTATTGTGGCTTAGTTCGCGGGCCGCCAAGGAATCTTGACGCTGATCAGTCGATGACAAGGTTCATATCACTGGTGCTGCTGGTGGGGTTGCTGGTTTGACATTTTGCAAGTCCTATAAGCAGTGGTCAGCGCAGCTGATAGCGTATTATTTCGCAAAAGGTCATTCTCACCATTTTGGTGGAACCAAATTATGATCCTCAATGCGCGGGTGCTCGTTTCTTTTTAAAGCTCGCCCGCCCACCATGGCGGGGGGTTTGTTTCACAGATCACGTGCTTTGACTGATCTCCCTTTCTTGTTGTATAGAAAAAAATTGTCATCAAATATAACGAATAAATTGGAAAAGAAGGAATATAAACATATATATATATATATATATTTGTATTTTTAGTGTTTTTTATTTTTGATATTATAAGAAAAGAAATTGTTTTATATGTTATATGTTTGTGTAAAAAAAATAAATTTACAATATTTATAATATGATATTTAATATTTTGGTAATATGGTTTAAATAAACTATACTTAAAATTAGATTTGAATATATATATAATAATTAAATTATATATAATATATTATTATAAGTAAATTTAAAAATATATATATTGTATAATTATATATATATATAAATAATATTATTTAAAGATTATTTAATAAAAATATTTTGGGGATTTGTACTATTCGGTTTGCATATATATATATATATATATTTATGAATATAATTATCCCAGAATACCAACATCCCAGCCATGAAAACGGTTCTTCTTCCGCTCTCGCTGTCGTTTCTGCGCTTGGGTACAGCCTGGGATGCCCAGTCCACGCGCTACGCTGATGCGGAGTGCACCCAGCCACTCGGCACGGAGGTGAACTGGACCAAAGCCAATGGGGCACGCAACTGCTTCCATGTGGATGGCTGGGTTTTCAAGAACTTGCAACTGGAGTGCAACAGCTCGGAAATGGGGCAGATGGTTGTCAGCGTCTATGAGGGCGAAAACTGAGCGGGAATGTGCTGGAGACAATGCCTTTTTTGATGGGTCTGGACACTCAAAGTTTCCTTGAGTACTTTACGGGACGATGCACCTGGATTCCCGATGGCGAGTTCTATGGGCTAATGGCGCAAGCAGCGGGCATCGACCTGCTAGGTTGCTTCACCGCCTGCTTGCCGATGAGTCTCAAAGAGTGCACGACAGATGCCCAGCCCGGTGGCACACCGCTTTTCCGATTCTTTGGGAGGGGTTCCCTTTAAATCGACGACCAAAAACAAAGCAATGATGCCCCATGGAAATCCAGTCTGAGGATATCTCAGAGGGTTTTCTCTTCGAGCTCAGCTCTGATCCTGTTGAGCAGAAGAACTTGGCTTTGGGCAACCCGCTGAAAGTGGCAGAGCTGAGAAGTGAGATGGATGCGAAGTTCCGGGCCGAGCAGGGCGTGCCGGTCTACAGAAGTTCAGTTCCTCCGGAGGCTCGGGACATGATGGCCCTGTGGGGTGCCATGGGCCCATACAAGGAGTGGCAAGAGTGCGGGAGCCACTGCAAACCTCCAAAGAAGACCTGGACAATCAGCTCGGGTGCCACCAGGAAAGCGAAGGCGCCACACATCATTTTCATCATGGCAGATGACTGGGGCGTGAACGACATCGGCTTTGACTCTACTTACCTCAGCTTTGCGACGCCCACGATGGATGCCATGAAAGCAGGGGGCATTCATCTCAAGAACTACTACGGAGCCACCTCTTGCTCGCCCGCTCGAGCCAACTTCCTCACAGGCCGTTGCACGCACCGTACTGGTTTCCACAAAACACCCCCGCACCCCATCCTGAACACCAAGTACAGCACGATCGCTGACGAGTTCAAGGCCCTCGGGTACCACACGGTCGGAGTGGGCAAATGGCATCTTGGCGACGACCGAACTTTTCACCTCTCAACCAGAAAGTGTGCCGGAATCTGCCCCATACGCGGAACCTGAGACAGACTTCTTGGAAGACCATGTTGCCTGCGGACCCTAGGGACCATCTTTCAGCTTCTAAGTTTTTCTCCTTGTTCTTTCTTTAGTTTGGGGGGGGGGCTATCAACAGTTTTTCACAGGGGGTCACTACCCAGGCATATGGAATTGGATTCTTTGGGAGCGTGACAAACAAAGTTTGGTTTGCCTACCAAAAACATCCATTTGCCTAAGAATATGTCTTATTTCCCCTTTGGGTTTTTAAGGGAATCTATCACTACTGGACATTTTTGCAGACAACGCAAATGGAAGCAAGGTGTTTGTTTTTTCCGCGGTCAAGCCAGGCACATGGGCTTTGAGAACTGGACGTACCATCCTCTTTGGCGCGGCTTCGACGACTACTACGGCTACTGGACCGGCTACGTGGGCTTCTGGGACTATGAATCCATCCTCCTGAAGGACCGAGAAGCCCAGAATTGCTTGGAGCAACTTGGTTCGCGCAAGGAAGCTGTGGTGGAGGTTGTGAAGGGATGTTAAAGCCCTAGGTGTTTGCGTGGGCCATCTTCGGCAGGATTTGTTTATGTGTGTGTTGCTTTTGGCCGGCATTCGCAAGTTTTCCACCCTAAGCCCACCCCAAACTCAGCCTAGCATGAACCCTCTCCAAACCAATCCAAAATCACCCGGAACCAACTAGACAGACATCCACCCAAAGCCCACCCCAAACCCACCCTGATCCAATCCAACCCTGAACCAACCCCCAACTCAAGGCAACCCAATCCGATCCTGAACTCAGCCCAAACCCACCCCAAATAAATGTCAATTCAGCCCTAATCCCAGCTAAGACTGTACTCTAAACCCAACCCTAAAGCCTCGACATGACAACTGAACACCACCCTAAAGTAAACCAGCCTTAAACCAACCCTAAACTCCACCCTAAACACACCCCAAATCCCCCTTCAGCAACCCTGAGCCACTAAACCACATGTGGTATGAAGGTATTGCTAGTAGTGCTCACGATTGTGCAAAAACTTCACTGGGGTTGATAATGCTGGACAATAAATACAGCATTTCGGCACTGCACAGAAAAGCAAGCACATCCTGAAATTAGACGACACCCGAATTCAATCTCCCCCTTTGTTTTCCCTTCTAGTGTGCGACTGCGAGGACAACAAGAGCATCCCGGACATGTTTGATAATTTGGAGCCTGCCGCTGAAGCTAAAAGTCGAAAGTGGGCCCCAACGCTCTTGAAGGAGAAAGCGCGTATGCACATTCTGAACCATGCAGCGAACTACGACACACCACTCTTCATGTACTACGCGATGCATTCCATGCACAACGATGGCAACGGCTTTGATGCACCAGAGTCTTACCGATGTGCAAAGTGAAGAATCAAACGGGCGGTGACGAGAACGATCAGGACCTCATGATCAAGTACTGTGCTGGGCTCATCGCTATGGATGAAGCCATCGACGATGTCTTCAAAGCCTTGAAAGAGACTGACATGTTCTCGAACTCGGTGGTCGTTTTGAGTAGTGACAATGGGGGGCGCGTCCACTACCCCGAGCAGATGGAAGCAAAGTATCGCAAGGATCATCTCCAACCGGGCTTTCTGGGAATGACGCTGCTGTCCCCATTCGGCTCCTCATATCCTTATAGGGGCGGCAAATTTGACCAGTCTGAAGGTGCCTACAGGATCCCAGGCCTCATTTACAGCCCTCTGTTGCCAGACAGCGCCAAGGGGACTACCTACCCGGGCCTGTTCCACTTGGTAGACTGGTTGCCGACTTTGTATGGCTTGGCTGCTGAAGGGTTCGGCGCAATGGACACTGCTTTGGATGGACTTTCTTTGGATGGTGCAGACCTCGAAATGTGATGTCGGAGTTTTTGTGAGGGATCTGTCAACATTCCTCGAGTGGTGTTGCTCCCAGCACCCCCGCAATCCTTGTAGGTTATAATATCGATATTTAGTTATTTATATCTTTATTTCTTAGGGTTTGGGGATGTTGGAGGCGTTTGGGGATGTTGGCTCGGCAATCACGTGTCATGGCTTTTTCTGCCGCCAGATGCCTGTTGGGCCCTGAAGTGCAAGCGCCCAAACTGAGGATATGACATGTGGTCTGCTCTGACCGGTTCTGGCGATCCTCGACAGTTTGTCTTGCTGCAGTACCCCAATGCATACATTCAGAAGGAGACGCTTAACGGCGAGACCAAACTTTGGAAGGCAGGGCCTTTGGGGGGAGACTGGATATGACTTGGCCAACTCGTTTCCTAGTAAATCTCCGGGAGGGGTTTGTCTTGTTTATGAATCACGGGGCCTTTCTCTTGAGCTGAGGTCGTTTTTGGGCGGTTGAGCTACATTGAAGGCTCAGAGTCGCCAATTGTCTTCTTCGAGCCTTGGCAGTCCCAGCCATACCCAGAGTCACATTCTCAGACTTGAGTTAAGGGATTGATGGCATAGTGTTGATAGAACACTTGATGGGTGGTCCCAAGTGTTCATAGGGCCGAACATCCCAACGAAAGCGTTTGGTGCATTCCTATCCACACTATCCCGTTAAACGTTTATCCCTACGGCAAGGGATCAAGGAACAACGCAGGAACCCGGCAACACCTGGGTGAACTCTACCTGCCTGGATCACAGGGTTTTCGACGTCCTCGCCGATTCGGCGAGAAGCTTCACGTGGCTGGGTCTGCTTTACCTCGGACTGCTGCTGCATTGAGAGAACTGTTTAACTCTCTCCCAGCGCTTGTTTCGCCACTAGAGCGAAAAGCAAAAACGAGGTTCCAGCCTGCACCAAAGGACTATTGTGTGTGTGTGAAGCAGCTTGTTAGAACCTATTTAAGTCACCCAAACTATAGGAGGTGACCAGGGGCAACAATCAGAAGTTGAACCTATAGAGATCAAGATGCTAAAGCGGAACCGATCGGCTTGTTCCCAATATTTGAGCAACAGTTGCACGCGGCTTGCCCACAAAGCGGGGCTTCAATTGCCGGGGGGGTTGACCCCAGATTCTTTAGCGCGGACCACAAGAAACCGGGCTGAATGAGCTCTCAACGCCGCCAAAACCGAGATCAAATCGAGCTTTGGGAGGAAATGAGCTTGTGTCGCGTAGGAAAATATGGTGGGTTATTTGAGGATTCATGTTTGGCGATGAGGGACACCAGAACCAAAATCCATGTTTGGGGTCCCAAGTTTCTTTGACGCAGGCAACAGCTGCCTCGCGCTCCTTCGTCAGGAAATCCGGTAGATGAGTTGAGGGCAATGGGACGTTGACAAACAAAACACTATTTGCAAGTCAAGAGCTGCGGATGTCAAATCGAGTGAGCGTTGCAAACCTTCAAGACGTTTCATTTTGCCATCAGGTCCAGAGAGGGAAACGCAAGCGAACTGGGTCCGTGGTTGCA